AAGATAGATAAAAGTCCTAAAATACTCGAGCTTAAGGGATTTAAAGGCGCACTTTTCAGCGCTCATCAAGAGGAAAGTGTTGTGCACAAATAGGTTGTTGCCACGTAAAAGTCGGTTTTGTCGGGTATATATCTATCGTCAAAAAATGCATTTCCTTTCCTTTTATAGGGTACATTAAATACATAAAACTTTTAGGACTAAAATATCCTCTTATTTCCAGCCGCTCCCTTTTCTTTCCCAACCAATTACTATCTTTCCTATTTCTATCCAAACCCATCTTAAAGCAATCCTCACCTTCTCCAACTCAATCAACCTTCACATTCTTTAACAAATTTCATAATATCTTCAAATCGTGGCTAAAAAACCCAGTATAAACACAACGCCATCAATGTTTTCCCAAAACGATTGCTTGCCGAAACTTATTTTCATAATAAGAACTTTCATCCTTATTTCCTCCCTTAAAATTCAATTGAAACTATCATAAATTTTGTTAAAAACTACAAATATATAAAATCCATCTTCAAAATGTTCTCTTTTCTTTTATTTATTTATTTTTTTCTTGGAGATAAAAAAAACATATAAATGTTGTGGAAATTCCATATACTTGTAGAAATATATAAAGTACAATATTTATACACAATGATTAAAGATAATGAACAATCACACCAATGAATTATCAAATAAAATACTTTCAATAAACTAAATAATACATCAATTGAACAACCTGAATATAATGATGAACAAGGATTTAACAAGATAAATATTCTGCAATAAAAATTAATATAATAATAATAATAGAAATTAAGAATGAAAAACGACAATAATAAAATAGGTAAGAAAGAGCTGGCCTGATTATCGAGGCATGTGTAAACACATTGACCTAAAGTTGATAGTCCTCCCCTTCGTGTGGGCATTGGTGAAACTAGTCAACTCCAAGATACAACCCAATCAGCTCACAGCGGCGTCTCCTCCCTGTGCACGACCACAGGAAGACTAGGTCCAAGTCTATATAAGTCTAGTTACTCATAAACTCAATATTCAAATAACTCTCAAAGTAAAAAATAGAATAGGCTCACAACCCTTACAAAAGTGTCACTTTATGATCTTGTCATATATTCAAAAGTCCCTACTATAGGTGTTTTATACATAGAGTATATATAGGGTGTAAAATGTAACTGCTAAGGTATAATAATGATAGAAATAATATACACCATAAGTATAATTTAATTAGTGGAATAAAATCCCATTAAATCATAATTAATATAATATAATTATATTTTTATTAAAATATTCCCAACAATAAAATTGTAGTTGAAGAGAATAGAGAGAAACAAATTTAGTTGACGGAAACTTATTTATTGACAGCAAAAAAATATTTATGGAGGAATGACAAATATGCAAAGGAGAAAAGGTAAAGATATATATATATATATATATATATATACATGGCGAAGAAAACAAGAGAAACTAAAAGAGTATTTTTGTCTAGAAAATATAATACATTTAATATGTGATGAGATAGATTTGGAATAGTTATTCGTGTATTACCACGTCAAAGTAGATTTTTTTATCGGTATGAAAGTGTCGTAAAAATTATCATTTTCCTAAAAAGAATGTTATGTCATTAGTTGGTTATGAATCCAGGTAAATAGGTCGGGTGAAATAGCAATACTCAATTAATAATACCATACATTCTTAGAAATGGCAACTGGCAAAATGAGGCCTACCAAAGCCACTCATTTCCAACCATCCAACGACTTTGATGCTTTTTATTTGACTCTGTAGACACCCAATTTATTTTAGATATTTAAGGCCTAAACATTATTGGTGGTCCGGTCTATGACTTGTGCTTAGAGTTCTTATTTGCATGTCATTTTCAATGTATTCCAACTTTCTTAGTAAACTTCAATTAATGACATTCTTATCACCATGGGACAATTTGAAAATTTAAACATCTATGTTCAGACTTTTTCAATATCAATCCCTCTTTACCTCTATACTTTAATGTTTTAAGCCTTTATATATGTAATTGACTTGGGATGCGACTTCCAGTGTTTTTGTTTTTTTCTTCCTCTGTAATTAAGAGGGTGCAGTGCCTGAAGTTAATCAAGTTTAATTGGAGCTTAATAAATTGAAGTACATCTATATATAAGTATTCCAATATAAAATTAAAATAGGCAATGAGATGGATTGGTTTTATTATATTTATACTCATATTTATATGAAATTGGTCCAGTGTTACTCTCTTTCTTGTCTGGGTGTCTCTATTCTGAATTTATATCTAGAAGCATGAATTGGCTTTTTAGCTATCTCATGGAAACTATAGCCCACAATTATGAAGTTGATCATTTTATAAACAAGCTTTGAGTATTTTTTTTTTCTTTTTCTTTAATAATATTTCTTCTTGTAACTAAATTATCTTTCCATATATATATATATATATATATATATATATATGATATAAAATATTCTACTGGTTAGGAAGTTCAAGTAACCTGTAGTCCAAGAGGTTGAATAGGCTACAGGTGGTAAGGATAAAGACAGATATTGAATAGATTACAAACGGCAAGAATAAAGACAATTATTCTCTCTGATAACTCTTCCATGACATGGGGGAAAAGTCAAGGCCCTAGGTGAACACTACCATTAACTCTTCGGGTAATTCATAAGGTATGATACAAATTTCTAAGAGAGTCATTTCATCTTCCTTCCACCCCTTGATGTAGCACTGATTTAGGTTCTTAGGCCGGTACCAATGCCCCTCGATCACCTTTTTCTCTCTCTCTCTGTCGTGGTCACAAAATCTTGCATCAACAATATATATATATATGTGTGTGTGTGTGTGTGTGTGTGGTTGTTTCACTTCTTTACAAACGATTTGAAACTCCTTATATATATCAGCATAAATTGCATAAAGATGCAGTAGTATCTAACAAATTTGCATTGTTCTACGCGGAATAGATTAGCTTTGTTGGGTTGGTTAGATAAGGCCACAATCCAAGCAGAATCACGGCTTTTGTTGGGTTGGACTCTGTTATTTCAACTCAAATTTTATAATCCAAATTTGTTCGCTATGGATTTTTATAATCCAAATTTTAAAACAATACAACACTGAAAAATGTTTAGTGATGACTTGAATAATTTGTGTACAAGAATAGTAAGATTCTTTTCACACATAAAATTAATAGGGAGAAAAAAAAAAAAAAAAAAAAAAAAATTAAATTAAACAATAGACCTGTATGAGAAAGACAAATAAGATATAAATGCTTATAGCAAATGTGATAAACCAACACAGGTATTTGTAGTGAAGTTTTCAGCATATATACTATCTGTAATTGTGAACTGTCTTTCTTTTATATATATATATATATATATATAAACAAAATGTATAGTTGTTTTTAATTATATAATATTCTTAGTCAGTCTTATCTCTATTCCTAATCTTTCATGCATTATAGTATCTTCATTAGCCTCATTCCTAATCATTCATGCATTATATCTTTACCACTTGCCCCAAGACCCTTGGTAAATTCAAAGTCAACAATTACAGCACAATTTTACATATATATATATTTTTTTAAGTTACAACCTTACATATACAGACTTGAATGTGAGAGAAACCCTAACCGTAGATTTAGTACTTGGTTGGAAAAATTACAAAACAATTTTCGATTTAGTACTTGGTTGGGAAAATTACAAAACAGTTTTCGGAGAACAAAAACTTATAAAATTGCTTGATTGTATCTACTAAAAATAAATTTCTGAACCAAAGATCTTAACCCAATAAAAATTTTATAAATTTTAGTTGTAAAATTGCTTGCACCTCATCCTTATGATGTTATCTATTAATCCAATAATCATTACTCCTAACAGTTCACTGATCACTTCCCTTATATACACAATTAGTTGCACCAAGAACAAACTCACCCGGTTTACAATATCTCTCACACCACAACCCAAACTAGCAAGACAAAAGGTTTAAGAAGACAATACAATTTAGCTTTACATACACAGTGAATAGAGCTCTAAGTAGTGTACATGCTTTTGAAATCGAGTGATTCTTGTGAGGATACTCTGAAGTAGAAGAATGTTGTAATGAGATCCTGCTTCAGTGCTCAGAATGAGACAATTGCAGAAGACTTTTGACCTGAAAATTCTTCTCTTGATTATGTATGTTGTTCCTTCTTTTTGATCTTCTGCTCAGAAGCTACACAATTTCTCAAAGAATGTTCCAGCAACTAATGATATCATCTAGTCTCTCAATCATGATTTGAATGTTGCCTTTGATCTTCACAAATGGAGCACCAACAACTTCTCTATTCAAGCTTCAGGTTTGCCATAGTGAGCATGATCTTCCAAGCCTTAAGAAATTCTTCAAGCAAAGGCAACAATGGGGTCTCTTTTAACTTCAAATTCACTCTCTTTTTCTTCTACTAATTCTCTTTCAAAGATACTAACATAACTCAAGAAAAAGTAACAGTTAGAATGCATCAGCAAGAGGTGTGTGTGTGTGTGTGTGTGTGTGTGTGTGTGTATGCCAAAAGAGCTATTAGAGATTTGAACTTCTTCATGTGACCCTTAGAATGGAAAATATCATAATACAAACCCTAGTTAAGAAACTCAACCAAAAAAAAGTGATGCCCTCTACAATGAATTTAGATATTTAGAATCAATTTTTCAAAGAGAGAAAAGATTCAATACTAAACAAAATGGTATCTAACCAAATTTGTCATTTAAAAAGTGGTGTAAACAAAAAAAAGTCCTTTTGACAACATAGAACATAACACTAGTATAAGTTTCATTATCCAGAATAGCAAGAGGACCACAACAACTTTGTATAAAGATCAAATAAAAATTGCTCATCAAATTAACGGGGAAAAAAATGAACTTTGAGTCCAAGATTGAACAAATAGAAAATAACAGACTGGAAATCAAAAGCCAATAAACAATGCAAATTAATTATAAAAAAATGAAGAAAAAAAAAAAAAAAAAAAATCCAATTCACATCCAACGGAGAACCCAAATATGAATAATCAGATACCAATATCAAGAGAGATTGGGGAGAGTTCAAATCCTTAATGGGAAGTGTAAACAACCACAGAAAATAACACGACCAAAGAAAATCTTCAACCCTCAACCCAAATCGGAAGTGTGAACAACCACAGAATATCAATGACTCTGTGAGAGAGTTTTACCCGAACGAAGAGAGACAACCGCAGGCAGAGAAGCGCAGATCGACCATCATTAGACGAGCTTCAAGAAACTGAAAGACGGGTTGAAGAGAGGTTGTACCAAGAAATCTGAGAGAAAATGCTTGAGAGAGATTGTAAGGAGGGCTTGTACGGCTGAGGTTATATACAAGAAGGGTTTCGTCATTTTTTTTAAGTGAACTTTGTTCTCCGTGTTTTCCCTCAACATAGAATATGTTTTAGAAAATTCAGAAAACAGCCCAAAGTTGTTCTCCAAAATCCTGAACTCATTTAACTCAGTTTTTCAAAAACACTTTTTAAACACAGAACCAAGTAGACCAATTTAAGAGTTTTCAGTTTTTTGGAACCATGAAAACAGTTGTTTTCATAGTTCTAATCCAAGCAGGGCCTTAAACTCTGCCTAACGCCCTCTTTCAAAGGCAACACGAGTTCTACCAGATCCTTCATGGCCATCTCGCATGGACCCAGCACTTGCTTTCATAGTTCCTCCACCGCCAACTTTATCCATGGCTTTTTTACCCTTCTTCACCTCTATCAAGAATTGGTCTAAACCAAACGGATCAGCTTCTTCTGCTTCCTTCTCAAATTCAACAGGCCTATCTCTTGGACCAGTCTTACCAGAGGTACCACCAAAACCCTTATCAGGTTTAAAGCGATCGGTTTTCATGATCTTATCCAGCTGCTCATCTGCACCTGCACCTCCATACATATCAGAATCAGCATCTTTCTTTGGCCTGTACAGTGTCGAAAGGGTAGGTTGAGCAGTGAACAAGCCCTTATCATAAACATTGTAGTGATCATCAGTAGCAAACCCAGAATCCATTCCCTTCTCCTGGTTAAATAATCTCTGGTCATACATAACCTCCCCTCCTCTTCCTGCTCCAGCAGAGGCCATCCCAAGAGCAATTTTTTCACTAACATCGCGGTCTCTATCTCTAGTGATCTTACTCTTCTTTCCTATTGCTGCATCCTTGGCCTCCAGCCTTCTTTCCCTCTCCCTTTCTCGGCGCCGCTCCTCTCGAATTTTCTCCCTCTGCAATCGCTCTTCCTTTTCCACCTTTGTCTCCCTTGGGGCATCCTTATCCTTCACGTGCTCATAATCCCCCCTTATATCATCAACATCCATCATAGTTTTGTCAGAAGGCATCGGAACTGCAGCTGGGGGTGCCACACCAGTTCTCTCAGACCGCGCCCTTTGAGCTAAAGCACGCAATTCCTGTTCTTTCTTTTCTTTCTCCTTCATCATCATTTCCTTCTGAACTTTAGATCTCATCGCCACTGCCTCTCTAGCTTTCTGTTCTGCAACATACAGTGCTTCTGAAAGCTTCGCAAAATTATCATTAATCTGAACCTCCTGAAGTCCCCTACCATCTGCTGCAAGACGCTTATCAAGTGGAATTGTATACCCTTTTGGGTTTTTCCAGTTCGAAATACATGGTGGGATCTTCCAATCCTGCTGGTCCTTCACAGTCACAGGACGAGGTGGGGAGTGCATGATTGGCACGGGTGGAGAACCAGATGCCTTTGGAACCCTCTTGTGTTTGAATTTTGGTGGCTCTAAGGGATCCACGGGCATCTCAACCATCCTTATTATCCTCTCCTTTGCACCAGAATTAAAAGCGGCAGACTGTTGCGATGGCTTGTATTTGATGAATTTCGAATCAGAAGACTGTGTTGCCACGTTCTTTGGTTGTGCCGCACTCAACCTCACATTCACAATTTTCTCAAGAGCTGCTTTTGTCTCCTGGGTTGTCTCCTCAATCTTTTTCTCCAACTCAACATCCAAGTTCTCTTCCTCTTCATCATTTTTCAAAATCTTCGGCACAAGGTCTCTGTGTTGTGAATAAACTACCTTAGAAGCATTCTCATTTTGCTTCACAATTGCATCATATCTCACATTACCATGCTCATCAACAGTGACGGGCAGCGTCTTCCTTCCAGGAGCTGCATCTTTCTTCCTACCCATGTCAAGAGGGTACTGGGCATAGTGAATTTCCGGGAACGCCCCTCCATCTCCAAAATCTTCAGGCTTAGATGGCTTAAAGCCATCCCTCTTCAAGTATGGTGGCACTGGCTTTGCTTTGATTGCAGCAGATTGTTCGGCCTCAGTTGCGCTGTACCTCTGCTTGAACCACGGATCATTGGAGTGGTCGTAATGCGAACTCCCAGTCGATTTCACTGGTGGAAGAAGCTCCTTCAAAGCTGCCATCAGAAACCCTTGCCAAAGCCAGATGAATACCCAAGACTTCACTACCTCCAAATCCCGAACTAAGGAAGAAAAAAAAAAAATTCAACAAAGCATTAGTAAAATTAAACCAAAAAATATATATAAAAAAAAAAAGCACAACAATGAATCAGAAAAGTAAGAAGCCGCATGTACTATAAAAGGAATAATGGTGAAAAAGGACATTTTCCTGGTATGAGATTAGACACACCGATAGCGATTGGATCCTTAATTATACACATCTGTTCTAGGTTTGCTTGTTTCGTTTGGTTAGAATGTTAATTTAATGTTGCTTGGTACAGCTGATTTATGCGAACTGTTTTACATTTCATTTCAGTAAAGTTACATGTATATTAATACGCTGATATCTCAAAATTAAAGAAAAAACTTGACCTCACTTGAAGACCAAAGTCAAAGCAATTAAACAAGTAGCTAGACTTTACAAATTATACTTGAGCAATTTATCCATTCAAGCACTCTTCATTCTGTTTTGGAAAATAGGTTGATGTAGGAGAATTTTTGTTAGTTTTCAAACCTAAATCTATGTAAAGTATAATAAATTAGAGAAAAGAAAATATTGAGCATCGTACCTTTAACACACACACACTGAAACACATATACTTTCATCATTTTTTGTACTTCAGTTTTTGAAAGATATATACATATATATAATATTCAGTATTTTAATGATTCTGTGGGTAAAGAAACTTTCTAATGAAATACTTACTCACTCCGCGGAAAACCAAAAACTGAATCAGAAATAATTATTAGAATGGTGTTCAGGAAAAACAATAAGCATGGGTTATTACATGAACGATTGAGTTGAGGATTTGGGTAATTAATTGTAACAATCAGAAAAATCAGGAAGTAGCTAAAAAATACTGATACATACTATAAAAAACAAAAATGGAATTGAATATTTGACAAAAAAGTTCTATAAATTTTTGTGTAAGGCCTATGACTTAAGGGTTTAGTAACATGCAACTGAAAGTGTTCGTAGAAGATTGTACTGAGATTTTAAGGAAAAAATAGTTATGAAACCCTTACTCTTATGAGAAAATTGATGATCATTTCCTCCATTGCTGCATTTGGCTTAACATTGGGTCAAATCATGCGAGCCACAGAAAACGGAATGGACAAGAGAGAAAATTCAATACAATAGGCTTTAAAATATGATGTCATATTTAGAGCTTTCCATATTGGGGAAAAATTACCTAATTACAGGTGTGCCAGTAAAAGTCCAATAATAACAGATCTGATATTCATCGATCCAATGGCTTATCCAGGATTTCTCAATGGGGTGGGCTAAATAAAAATGTATCAACCAAAATCAACTGTTGTTTAATTCTTACTTAAGAATATTTCTTTATACAATTGACTGATTAAGGCATAGAAAATCCTATTTGGGTAATTAATAAAAAAAAATTACCAATTTATTTCTGAACAATTCACCACTCAGTACCCTATCGCTTCTTTTGACCAATTTACTAATCCTATTTGAGAATCTACTAGTGGAAGCAGAGTGTGAGGTAGTTCATGGCAAGCCCCTTCCAACACCATCGAATTCACCAAATAGGATTTAGTTTGCAAAACAAAAATTACAGACCTTGATTAGTTGATTTAGAAAAAAAATTTAAAACAAAACCCATACATACAAGTTAGCAGTTGATTAGTTGATTTAAAAAAAAAAAAATTTAAAGAAAACCCATACATACAAGTTAGCAGTTGCAGAGAGAGAGGGGGGCAAGCTTAAGAGTTGAGAGACAGTGGCTGAAGCTTGCGAACGGCGAACCAGAACTGGAACAGCGGGCGATTGAAACTGAAAGATATATAGGTAATAGGTTTTGAACTTTTAATTCTTGCAGACAGATGGATAAACTGAAATTTATGGGTTTTGAACTTCTGATTCTTGTAGATTTTGTAATTTGCAGTTGCAGAGACGAGTTGAGAACGAGAATAGAGACGGATGCGATTGGGAAGCTGAAAAGATTTGCCCCATAAATTTTGAGACCCTAGGCGACCGCCTTTGTCGCTTGGGTCAGGGCCGGCCCTGGGCTTGTTTGGTTTGGGCCTTTATTTAGTATGGTGGATGAGTTGACTTGGGCTTAATTGGGTGGGCTAATACTATTAACACATTAATTTTTTCGGGCTGGGCTGAAAAAAGTATAATAAAAAAAAAAAAAATTTTGAATTCAAACTCACCAAAACCCACCCCTACATCCGTCCTTGGCCATGAAAGATCTGGTAGAACTCGTGTTGCCTTTGAAATGGGGAGTTAGACAGAGTTTAAAGATTTCTTCTTTGGTAATTGATTTTGCTTGCTGAGTTCTGTTTGGGAAATTATGTACGTAAGTGGTGACTTGGTATATTTACACTGTTTAAGTATCAGTGGGGGCCTGCCCTCACTGGATTTCTTTTCATTTGTATTATTACTTATATTTTTTTGTTAAAATTTTGAAAATGCTTCTTCTAAATTTGTAAATTTTTTTAAAATGTCCCCTCTCAATCGATAAAAATATCACACTTCACATTTTTACTCCCACTGATTTTTTGGATCCAAAAGATAATAATTTCTTTTGCACTCTCTATCGCGTGCCACATTTATGATTCTTTCTCACACACTTTGAAATTTTCACTCAATTTTTAAAAATACTCACTATATATATTCTTGCGTTTTAGATCTAAAAGAAAGTAAAGTAAATCAACTTTCTTATTTCTTTCCGTCCCACATCTATGGTAGTCTAGAAAACACATGGTTAAAAAATTTTAAAAATATGAGTTAGACAAACCACAAAAAATTAAATTTTTATATTTGTTATTTTATTTAAAAATATATATCTTCAATTTTTTTTATTCTTCATTAGCGCCCCTCTTTAAAAAAAATTCTGAATCCATCACTGGCTGCTGTATAATTTTTTTCAGTTATGTAGGATGATGATTAATCTTAGTTTTATAATTGGTTATTTATGAATGGTGACTCGAATAGATCAAATTGGATGCATGCTATGATTTTATTGGCTAGCACCTTATGATTAATTTCACGATCCAGTTTTCTTCAGAACTTAAATTACTATGCTGATGTGGTGGTTCTTCTTTTGTTTCATATTGTTTTCTTTCTATTTTAGCACTTATCTGCTAAAAATTTGATGGATATGTTCAATTTTAGTGTGCATTCTTTTGCATTGTAATACTTGTTTCATGTGTTTTTATTATTATTATTAAAAGGTAAATTCTGAATACGTGCAAATCGGGTTGAATAATTTATTGACTTCTCATTTTGTATGTGAATGCTTCTTTGCTTTGTTTGCCACTTGACTTACTCAAAGTCTAAAGGTCCTTAGATGTTCACTGAATCTGAATTTTTTAAAGCAACTTTGGACCATCACATGTAAGTTGTTTAAACTCGATATTAATAATTATTGGTGTTAAAACAACTATTATTAATTATTAGACTTATTAAAACGGACCTAGTAATTTTATCAACATGACTCTTATGGTCAAAAGGAGAGAGCCTACTAGAGCTGTGGGGCAACCCCAAGTACCTGAAGGGAAACTCACCAACTTCAAAACCAAATTTATCCTCCATGGATTGCTGAACAGTAGTAGATAAGTTAGAGGTGAAAATAAGACTCTTGCTCAGATTAAGGTATAAACCTGAAACAACACTTAATTCATTAATAGCATTGAGAAAAACAATGAGGGCTTGGCAATTCCCATGACAAAAAAAAACATAAGATCATCTACAAAACATAATTGGGATATCTTGTTTTTCTTGCATCTCTAATGGTAAGAGAAGTTAGGATTAAAATTTAGCACTAAAATTTTCAGTCAGTACTAATTTTCAATGTTATCAAACAACAACTACAATGCCATATCCTAAGGGGAGCCAAAACAAAGTGAGATTGGTTTTGGGTCGGCAAGGTCCTTTGTGTTCAAGGCGCAGACAGCCGAATGTAGCAGTAAAAGATGCATGCTCTGAGAAACTTCGAAGGTGGAGATGGATAAATTTTGAACATCCTCAGAGGAGGGGTTATCATTGAAACCAGTTGTCGCCACACAAAAGATCTTCTCTCCCATATGGAAAAGATAGGAGGAGTATATTTGAAAACAATCCACTGGTGGATCTAGAAATTCCAGTCGAATTATCCGCGGAGCACTAAGAGATTGAATGATACCATCATCGGAAGAAAATTTGACACCATATGCAATCAAGATAGGATGTTGTTTCAAAGTGTGTACGAAACCATCAACATATTCGGACTTCCCATTGAAGGGGTAATATTTCACATCCTCCTCTTTGTCTTCCTTTTCGACGACCTGCCAATTCTCCATTGAACTCCCGACTTTGTAAAAAAAGAATTTAGTGATATTAACGGAACGTACATCCATAACTGAAATCAAAATATTGTTGTTGATGACCGTGTAACTGACGACCACCATGGATGACTCTTCTACCAACCGGAACTCCGGTATGAGGATAGAAGTATCCCATTCCCGATATAGAGGATCCAAACGTTCAAAACACGGAGGTTCAATGCGCTTGCCGGTACACATGGTATCTGCAGCAAGCACATAAAACCCGATTTTTTCTTCCATTCTGCACTGTTATCACTTTAGGATAAGGCTTTTTTACTTTTGGGAATGGAAAATCGGAGAGCTTTTTGGTATGTTGTAGGTGCAAAAAAATTTCAACACTGGGACACTTAAAAATAAATACAAAAATAAAAGTAAAAGAACTGTAACTGAACAGAGACTAGCTCAATAGAAGAAATATAAGCCAGTAAAATCGATGCCATTTCTCTCATAATCGATCCCTTATTTATATGTTTATACAAAGATTTTCTTGGGGCCGTTATCAGCGGTTTTGAATGTGGGCAATCATAGCCCTTAATTTTCTGCGATTTCCTATTTATTAGTGGCGTTGTGGGATGTTTGAATGAACTTGGAATGGGCCACGTTTCTCTGTTTGGGCTGACTCGAATGTTTGGTGTCTCCTTTGATGGGCTCTTGACTACATTGGGCTTCTGGGATTGCCATTTCAATGATGGGTCTTTCTTATTTTGCAGACGTGTGGTGTGCTGTGATTGATGGAAAATTTTTCCTCCACACTTTGCCCCCAATTCCTTTTATGAATCAAATTGCCACTTGGGGTTCCGTACTTTGGGGTCTTGTGTTGTTGCCCCTTCGTTGCTTGCTTTACACCTCTATATATTGAACTCTTGTTGTTTTTGTTATCTGTACTTGCGAAAATACCTTGGCTTTAAGAGCAAATCCGCATGTTATTGTTCCAGTCTTCTCCCCATTGTTAAGGTCAGTCTCTCTCTTATTTTCTTATATTTTATTCTTTTATCATGAGTCAAGAAAATAGCGAGCGTACTCAGGCGTTCGATTCTGAATCGGAGATGCCGGAAGTGTGTAAATACTCCGAGTCATGTCGAGGGCCCTATAATCCTCCCTTCGGATATTGTGGAGAGGAAGTCACTTTCTGCCACCCAATTAATAAAGAAAAATCGGATTCCCTCTAATGTTACTTTAAAGGAGTATCCCCATGACCTAAATTTTAGCACTGGTGAGGGTTTAGTAGAGTGTGAGATGCTCTTTTCTGCTAGACATTTATCTACCTTTAGATTTCCCCTTAATCCCTTCTATCTTTGCGTTATATCTATGTTGAACTTAGCCCTTCTTCAGGTTAACCCTAATTTCTTCCATATCCTCTCTTGCCTTCTAGCTTCAAATAGGGTTCGTGGGCTGACCTTGAATTTTGTTGATCTCCTCTTCTATTATTCGTTAAATAGAATAAAGGATGAGGAGGGTAGGTATCACTTCCATTCTAGTACAGGTAGATCTTTTTTTCCCGGTCTTAATACCTCAGATAAAGAATGGAAAGACAAGATCGTTAAGGTATGAGGGGCCTAGCGCTCTTTTTTTGCTCAGGATTTTCCTGTCCTTGGTTTCCTGGTACATTCTTGCCAGCGTGGTTTTGAGTGGTGTGACCCTCTCTGTAGTTCGCGATCTCTTCTTAGGGGCCCTGCCTTAGATACTTGGTGGCTCTCGCTGAGCCCTTGAGATGCTCGGTTGTTCTCTTAGTCGGCCTTCCACCGTGACTAGCATTGCCCTTTATTGCCTTGTCATCTTATTCTCTTCGAGTTTGGTGTAATTCTGTACCCTCACGTTCAATTCTGACATAACTGATTGAGTTTCCTTTACTAATAAAGAGTGGAACCTTATGCCATGGATTATGGCTATTTTGAATGCCTCTATTGCTGTAGCCTGATTGCAGTCTGGAATACCTGACTCCATATTGAACTGAGTGAGGAAGGTTTTAAGTCCTTCTCCTTTCATCTGTCGAATTATGAAGAGACTAGAGATGATCTTCTTTTGCTTCTTATATAACAACCCTCACCCTAGCCAAACACAATATTGTCCGCTTTTGGCTCCCCCAGACCAGAGACTTCCCTGAGGGTCACCCATCTTAGTACTACTCCAGGTTAAGCACACTTAACTCTAGAGTTCTGGTGGGTTCACCACCATCACGGCTTTAAAATGCGTTGTGTTATAGAAGGGTGTTGAACTTACATATAGAACTTTCCCCTCCACATCCAGGCGATATGGAATTGTGCACCTGTAGCTCGCCCAATGTGGTAGCCTACCAATGCCACTTGCAGACGCTCACACACACCCGCCTATAAGGTCGCCACATCTTATTTCCACAATATTGGGCTAGGAAGGCTGTGTATAATGTCTCGAAGTTCGAGATAGATTTATGTGGTCGGTTCTTGAACCACTCCAATGCTACCCCTGTTAGGCTGGACGGAAAGATTTTGCACATGAAGAGGTCGTTTCGTGCCTCTAGAGTTAATTTCTGGCTGTAGTGGTCTAAATGTTTAAGGGGATCCCTAGTCCCATTGAACTTGATGAATTTTGGCATGGTAAACTTATTG